ATCCATGCTCTGTCTCTCGTTGTGCTGGATGAAGTCACTGGCGACGAGTAAACCCAAAATAGTCCCAAACAGGCGCAGAGGCATTTTTTCTTTTTTACTAGTTGTCCGAGTTCGGGGCCGCCAAATGCTGCATCTTGCTCAGCTCAGCTCTGTGCTGAGCTCTGAGAGCGGGAAAGACGGACTGCATCTGTGATTTGGCGCACAGTCTGTGACGTCACGGTATTGAAAATCATACCGACGGGATTTCGAAATACCCTGGTATACCGTAATACCGTCATACCGCCCAAGCCTAGTAGACAGTCAGTCACCTTGTGTGAGGCAGGCCACTTAACAGGCCTTGCCATCGGGAAACCCCCCGGTTCTCCCGATGGCCAGTCCGGGACTGGGTACAGGAGGCATAGAGCGAGGGATCATTGTCCACAAGTTAATCAATCGCACGGACGAATAAAATAAAAATAAATGTACAGAAAAAAACAAACCTAAATGGGTCGCAAAATATACTTGGGCGGCCGTTAATATACCTGGGCGGCCCGCCAAAGTATAGTCTTTGTGGGAAACCCTGCATTTGTCACGTCCCGCATCGACTGCTGTAACGCCATCCTCTCAGGCATACCCACCGAGCTCATCAATAAACTACAAATCATACAGAACTCTGCAGCCCGGATCATCACCGGCACCAAGGCCTCAGAACACATCACCCTCATCCAACTCCACTGGCTCCCTGTTCAATCTCGTATCAACTTAAAAAAACCTACTGCTCACTTACAAATCCCTACATAACCTGGCCCCCCCCCTTATCTGGCTAACCTCCTTCAGGAGTACACCCCCTCTCGTTCCCTCCGCTCCCCCTCTGCTGGTCTGCTAACCGTCCCCACCCCACGCCTCGTCACCATGGGTGCTCGGGCATTTAGCTGCACTTTTCCCAGACTCTGGAACTCCCTCCCCCCGCACATCCGACAGTCAGACACAATCACCATATTCAAATCCCAATTAAAAACTCACCTGTTCAAATCTGCCTACTCACTGTAGTGCTCCCCTTTATATGTTTCATTTGTGTCCACTTGACTGTCTCCTCCATGATTTGGTGTTTGTGTTTTTATCATGTTCTGTTGCCGATTAGCGTTTTCTTTTTTTTAACAAATTGTACGGTGTCCTTGGGTGTCATGAAAGGCGCCTAAAAATAAAATGTATTATTGTTATAAGTACTTTATTGATTCCAAGGTGTTTCCGTAGAGACGATATCTGTTAAGAACTCAGGCACTTAGGAGGTAGGACCCAATTGCACGACCCGGGAGACAGAGGTAAAGTATTGGTGAGATACTTTATTTTTCCAAAAGCAGGCAAGATGAACAAAAAAGTCACTATTGAATCTCAGGTTGAGATGACAAAAAAAAAAAAAGAACAAAAAAAAAGAAAATCGCTCAAGTGGTGAGGAACAAAAACTTTTCAATAGCACAAAGAGAGCATAGACCATGGCAATAGACCAAACGCATAGACCTGAACATGACAAGAGACAAAAACGAACTGACACTGAGCACTGGGAGACAGGGGAATTTAAACACAGGGTAACAAGACACAGGTGGGAACAATCAGGGGCGGGGCTGGTGATGATGAGCACAGGAGACACAGAAGAGATGACAGGTGAAAACAATCAGGAAATTAGACACACCAGGGAAACTAACGACAGACAGGAAAGCACAGGGAAAGAGACCAGACAATACACAGGAAGGAAAACATGACAAGGAGAACAGAAAAACACCCACTACCAGACACACAAAACTAAAAACGTGGCACAACACAAGAATCGTGACAATATCTTCTTCTTGTACTTTCATTTGACTTCAAAAAAGACTTCAACGTTAAATTGCTTTCTCTCCTGAATTTGTGACCTACAAATGGGTGAAAGAAAGACAATACAAATAAACAATCTCCCCAAAGTTCCTTCCTAAATAAGTTTTGCAATTTGAACAAACGTTTTACAAAGGTTTCTTTTTTATGATCTGTAACAACAGGTGTACAAAAGGTGATGTATGTTATCATATTTCAGTTGTTTTCTGGTAGATTAGCGGAAGTGCACCTCCACCCCGTGTTTGTAAATGCTAAAGTACAGATATTGGTACACCGATTATGGTCAGTCTTAAATGCGAGGAGATTCTTGGAGCAAAGAAAATGTTGCTTTCTGGTAATGTCTGAGACACAGCTGTGGTTAAAGACAAACAGAAACAACACCCAGGATGGATAAACTATATAAAGAGATGTCATAATGTTAAATAATTCCCTGCCAATAAATACAGAAAAGAAATTAATTCAGTCAAGATTATTCTTAGAAAATGAATTCGAACTGTTTTCTAAATGATCCTCATTAATTGTTCTGTGATGATGTTGTGTTTGCAGATCGGTTCGTACTTCGGCAGCGTGCTGCAGACGGTGGACGTGGACGGAGACTCCTTCACAGATCTGCTCTTAGTCGGAGCTCCGATGTTCATGGGAACAGAGAGAAACGAGCAGGGACAGGTCTACGTCTACAAAATCAACCAGGTACTGAAGACTCGTTCAAGAAAAATGTTATGTGTGTCTTTAATTGGAAGACCTCATGTCGGACTGTGATAATACGATACGATAATACTTTAATGGTCAGATCAAGTCTGAAATGTGACTTGTATCACAGCAGCTCCATGTGTCACATCAACAGACACAATACATGAACAATAAACAACAAACATTGAACATAACAGCAGGACCAGTGAGAGAAAAGCTGCTCAAAGAGCCTTCAGCGTGCATCTGATCTGGAGCTCTGTATTTACTGAGAGGATGGACTGGAGCAAAAAGGATGCTTCAGTCCGACTTTATTGAATGTATTTATTAATGCATCCTCTGATTGTCGTCTCCTTGTCTCCTTGTCTCCTTGTCTTTCCTTCAGGAGAACCAGTTTGAGCACCAGTTCACCTTAAAGCCTGTGAACCAGTCGTGCTGCACGGCTCACTCTGAAGGCTGCACCAATCAGAACGAGCCGTGTGGAGCTCGCTTCGGGACGGCCATCGCTGCCGTCTCCGACATGAACCTGGACGGATTCAACGACGTGGCGATCGGCGCTCCATTTGAGAACGACCACAGAGGAGCCGTGTACATTTACCACGGAGAAAAGACCTCGCTGAAGGAGAAATACGTCCAGGTAGAGAACAACAACAACAACAACAACAACAACAACAACAACAACTGGACTAGCCCTAACAACAACAACTGTCAACTTTCTTAAAACAGTTCTTATCTATCTATCTATCTATATATCTATCCATCTATCTATCCATCTATCCATCTATCCATCTATCCATCCATCTATCCATCTATCTATCCATCTATCCATCTATCCATCCATCTATCCATCTATCCATCTATCCATCTATCCATCTATCTATCTATCCATCTATCCATCTATCCATCTATCCATCTATCCATCTATCTATCCATCTATCCATCTATCCATCTATCCATCTATCTATCCATCTATCCATCTATCCATCTATCCATCTATCCATCTATCCATCCATCTATCCATCTATCCATCTATCCATCTATCTATCTATCCATCTATCTATCTATCTATCTATCTATCTATCCATCTATCTATCTATCTATCTATCTATCCATCCACCTATCCATCTATCTATCTATCTATCTATCTATCCATCCACCTATCCATGTTATAAACCCGTTTCTGATTCAACCAATGGATGAAGTCGACCATCGAGTTTGAGGACGACCGATTTGACGCCTTGATTTTGGTATTTTTAATTGTCACCATTTCGTTTTTGGAGCAAGAAGTGACCAATCGTGCATCTGTACTTCACTTTTAAAGTGATAATAGTATCATATAATGCATATGACAAAATGTACTTACCGTAACACATTTAAACTACTCCTCTCTGTATGTTTTTAGAACAACTGATTGCTAAAATGAGGCGCCATGTGTACAATTATCATAAACACTATTTAAAAAAATTGCATTTATTAATACCGGAATCACTTTATCTTACGTTTTGTTAAGAAGCAAATACTTTAATTGCAAAACCGAATTTCTTTTGGTGATCATCTTTTTTTGTGAAAATTAACTAAATCTTAAATATTATAATATAAGGCCTTTTTTTTCAAATCTCACTTTTTTTACTATTTTAATGAGCTAGAAAGGCTCTAAAGTCACTTATGAGAGGATATTTATGTTTGAAACTACAATTATTATTGTTATTTTGAGTGTTATTTTATCGATATCTGCTATATAATGCTATATCGCCCTACCCGGGGACACAATAACCACATTTATGGGTTGAAATGAACTGTAATTTCCCTTTTTGTGTGTTTGTAATGTCCTCTGTGTTTCCCTGCAGCACATCCCTGCAGGAGGTGACGGTGTGAAGGTGAAGTTCTTCGGTCAGTCCATCCATGGAGTCATGGATCTGAACGGAGACGGGATCACTGACGTTACCATAGGAGGTCTGGGAGGGGCTTCTCTGTTCTGGTGAGTAAAAACACCCACTCCCCAAACCACACATTCCTCCTGGAGCTAAACCAGACGTTATTATCAGAGACGGCAAAAGTACACACATCCTTTCCTCAAGTAGAAGTACAGATACTCGTGTTTAAAAATACTCTGGTGAAAGTAGAAGTACTGACTAAACTTCTTTACTCAAGTCAAAGTAAAGAGGCTTTGAAATGTACTTCAGTAAAAAGTACCCATAACTAGCAGCTGTTTTAAAGAGTACCTGACCTCCCTTTATATTAATAGATAGATAATGTCATTGTTAACTAATGAATGTTTCCATGCTGAACAACGGCAACATGACAACGTTTTCATTGGTCCCTCTTCTTTAGAGAAGACCAGGAAATGATGGATACACGGATCGTGTTCAAATCAATAGGCACGCAATGACTCTAAATAATAATGATCACGCCACCAAACACACATTCAGACTAAAGGAACCAGCCTGTTTGGAAAATGAGAGAAGTAGAAAGTACAGGTATTTGTGTTCAACATGTAAGAAGTAGAAAGTACAGGTATTTGTGTTCAACATGTAAGAAGTAGAAAGTACAGGTATTTGTGTTCAACATGTAAGAAGTAGAAAGTACAGGTATTTGGGTTCAACATGTAAGAAGTAGAAAGTACAGGTATTTGTGTTCAACATGTAAGAAGTAGAAAGTACAGGTATTTGGGTTCAA